AGGCAGGCGTGGAACTGAACCAGGTGGTCGTGGTAAACAACAGGAAGAGTTTTATCAAGTCTCTGCGAGCATGGCTTTGTTCGAAGACAGCCGTGTGGAAAATTCCGAGCTCTGCTTCGTTATTGACTCTGCAGCTAACCGCAACATGGTTCCAGAGACCCCTGCAGTTGAGATGTGGAATTGCAAGGCAGTTCCAAAAGGACAAACTGTTAAGTTCGCAAATGGACAAAGAACAAAGTTTTCTAAATTTGCTAATGTTTATCTTTCTGTTTTGCAGGAAACGATGGAGTTTTGTATTGTTCCAGAGGTGCATCACTGTTTGTTATCTGTATCAGCTCTAATGAAGCAGGGATACAATGTTTGCTTTGAAAATGACACCTGTTCCATTTTCAGAGGGGGGAAGCAACTTGTCAACGTGGAAAGCAAGAACAATCTCTTTGTTCTGGAGACACCTCTGGAGGGTGGTGGGAATGCTGGAAAAGCACAGGCGAAGTGTGCTAAGGTTCCCAGTCATGTGCAAAAGTTGCACAGGTGCACAAAAGGGTGTAAAATCACACAATGTGGGAGGAGGTCGCAAGGGTGCAGGGCATGCAAAGGTGCAAAGGTACTTGGTTTTCCCGGGTTTGGGAGGGTAGCCAAAGAGCCCTTTGAGCTGGTTCACACAGATCTGTCAGGACCCATGAGGTGTGAGAGTCTGGGTGGAGCCAGGTATGTGCTGACGCTGACAGATGACCACAGCCAGGTTGGCTGGTGTTTCTCTCTCAAATCACAGGGGGAGGCGGCGCAACTGATCCAGGATTGGGTTGCGGAGGTGGAACGAAGGTTCTCCACCAGGGTGCAAGGGTTCAAGAGCGACCGAGGGTCACAGTTTACTGGGTCTGCTCTGGAGGAGTTTTTCAAGGAAAAGGGAATACGTCACCAGGTGACGGGTGCAAAGTCTCCTCAAGGGGAGGAGAGGGAGGCAGAGGCTGATCCCGGTGATAGGGACCAGGTCCAGGATCAGGGTTCAGAACCCGGTGATGGGGATCAGGTCCAGGATCAGGGTTCAGGGCAGGTTTGGGCATCTCCAAGGGTTGTGAAAGGAGTGTCCAGGTGTGAGGCTTCATCTCCGGCTAGCGTAATGGAGAAAGCTCACGGACGGGTTGTCAAGTCAGAGGGGGAAGAGTCTGACGGAGAAGACACAACTGCTGACCCAAGTGGGTCAGAGGGGTTTCAGGTCACGGGTGCGTGGGAAAGTGTCGCACAGTGTGATTCTGGGAATGTTGAAGGGGTTCAACAGGTGCCTGGGAAAGATGCCGGGAAGGGGCACAAGGCAAAGGGGAAGGTGTTGAACTCAAAAAGGTCTTGTCAGAATGGTTCGGCAAGAGGGGGTGTGAGGTTTGGAACTTAACTGGTTAAGTTGTTCCCATGATGCCTCAGCATTCTGACGTCAGCTTTAGAAGCTGGGAGGAGTTTCGTTCTGTTCCTCTCGGTCTCTGAGGGGAGAGGTTGCAGTTTGTCATGGCTGCGGTGAGTCCAGGAGAATCCTGGGGAATATCGGAATAAAGGACTGAAAGAGACAAACCTGGACTCTGTGTGTGTTTGTCTGGAAGCTAAGCCAAGCTATGTGACAGTTTTCACCGCTGTGTTCAACTCTGCTGAGGCGTGACTGAAGAGCTGCTGGAGACGGAGCAGAGTCTGGCAGGGAAGTGTGCCGGGCGGCCATAAATAGCTAATTGGGGTCGCAAATCAATTAGCGGGGGTCACGTCAAAAACAATCAACTTTCACAGTCTCTTCCTCCCCTCTCAGGGCCATTGCCCCATATGCTCCCGGCTGGCGAGGTGGGGTCCAGGCAGGTCCCCGGGGGGTGGGGGTGTGCCATGGGTGCCGGTCACAAAATGGCTGCCATGGAGGGGGGGCGGTTGTAGTAGAGGCTGAGCGCGCGTGGGGGGGGCAAAGAGCCTCCTGCCCCTTTTAGGGTTTCAAGGCGAGCGTATTGTTGTAAGAATTCTAAGGTCTCAAATATAAATTAAATGCTCATAAACGTACAAGGCAAACACCTACCTAAGTATATAAACCAGGTGTCTGAAATAGTACAGGAGAGCAATCCTGAAGCCATTTGGACTCTCCCAAATTGACCTCAAATATTCCTCCGCAAGGAGGAAGGAAATGGGGAAAGGCCAAAGGGAATATCTTGTGTCTGTGCTCTGTTTAACCAAAGTCAGCCAAACAGGCTTATTTTTCACATCCACTGACACCAACATGCTTTCTCTATTTTCTTCCTGCACCTTAGTAAGAAGAATGATACATTGAATAGCGACAGCTGTCTGGTTGTGTTTCCTATACATAAAACAAGCATTTCGTTAATAAATGAAGTGGTCTGTTGTGAATTACTGTTAAGGAAAAATCTAGGTGTGAGGCTGCTCAGTCCCCCAGCTGGTCGGGCAGAGCCCGCGGGTCCCTGCAGAATAAAGGAAGGAGTCCAGCCAACCGGAGCAAATAGCTGTAGACCAAAGTTTATTGCACAGTAGTTTCAAAGAGCACATTTTGAACCCCGAGGATGGGGTGACAAAGACTCTTAAAACTTTCCCACCATATCCCAGAATACAGTTCGTACAGCATCATTGCTACATCACTGACATGTCACAAAAGGGGAGGGGTTAACCTTGGCAAACATGTCCAGGCAAGTCCTGGTACAAGATTAGCATAAGCAGACATGGCAGGGCAAGACTCAGGTATAAGATTAGCATAGACAAACACCTCTGAAGTCCCACCACCCAAAGTGCAATGGAACTTCCTTTGCGTGTCTGGAGCCTGAGGCGAGTCAGGTGATGAGATTTGGCTTCCTTTGGCTAACAATGAGCCCAGCAATTGTCAAATCTGAGAACTTCCTGGAGTCCTTTTGCAAGGGGAAAAATAGCTTTGGAATGGAGGAAACTGGGAAAGGAGATGATTTTATATTATTTTAAAGCTAGGTAACTTCCCTGAGCTGTCAAGTTGGAAGGATACATTCAGGCATAATATTTGTAATATTTAACTTTAAAGATGTGCCCCCCCGTAATTTCCGTAACAGCCCCCGTTTTCCGAGTAAGAGCTAGGCCTGCATGTCCAAATGATCTTTTCTCTTGCAGACAGCCTAGCTGCTCACCCGGAGGGCATGTGGGCAGCACCCTCAAGCTAGCGCCATGGATCCAGGGCCTGTCAGGAGATCGGCCTACACCCGAGTAGGACCCTGGCAGAGAAACATGCCCGACTGGCATGTTCTCTCCCTCCTGATCGATCGTCCGGGAGCTTCAAAAGCTTTCTTCAGCCCGGACCGATGCCAACCGCCACCGGCACACTTAGGGATCCGCAGAGTATGCACATCATGCATAACAGAACTCAGCATTTTGGCTAATCTACTTTATTTACATCTAAAGACACACGGAGCACTGCAACATGGCTCCCTCTCTCTCCAGCATCAGACAGCAAAGAGAAAAAGAACAAAGGACAATAGTCCCACTTCACAGAACACAGGAACACAAACATCCTGTCTCCGTCACTACCCACTCTGTGGAGTCAAAGCATACACCGTCATGTAAAAGACAACAATCCCATGACTGCAGTCATGGAGCAGGAATTCTAACAGGGCCATGGCCTGCTTCTCTGGCTGCCGGGCCCTGCAGACCGTGCCTTCATAATGCATGTGTGAATGAGACAACCAGCCTTGGGCTCCGCAGGCGAGCACCAAAAGGGGGGTTCGGGCACCAAGGACCCAAAATCAGACATCAGGCATGGCACCTTTTATTGGAAATGGTGTTGTTACGGTAAAATCTGGGTGCGAGGCTGCTCTGCCACCCAGCTCATTGGACTAAGTCCGCGGGTCCCTGCGGAGGAAAATAAGCTCAGCCGGAGACAGGAGCAAGCTGCAGAAGATCCAAGTTCATTGCGCAACAGGTTCAAGGCGAGATTGCACAGCGAGAAAGGGGTGACATGAAGTTTTGAAACTTCCCTCCATGTCCCAGAATACAGTGCAAAATACATCAGTTACATCATGAATACATTAAGAAGAGGTTGGGTTACACAGATTACATCATGAATACATTAAGAAGAGGTTGGGTTACACAGATTACATCATGAATACATTAAGAAGAGGTTGGGTTACACAGGATTAACATATGGAGGAGGGAGGGGGGAATATGCAGAGCTGGAGATATGCTCAGATAAGCGCTTCCTGAGTACCGGTGATGAGAAGACAGTGGTCCATGTATGCATAGTCTGCCACCTGGCATTGCCCGGAGGAAAGGCTTGGCGAGTGATTTGACGGGATTAGGGTCTTCCTGAAAGTACGTGACACCTCGCTTGAGGGATTATGGAGGACAGGGGAGGTGTCATGGAGTCCTAGAGAAACTGAGCCGCTTGGCGCCAAAAGCAAGAAAATCGGTGTTGTGGTTGATTCTATATGAATTTTTAAAGATTTTAGCCCATTTTATATTGACAATTGAAGTCGGAAACAAAATGGATACATTGTAGCGAGATTTGACAGTTTTATGAGTTCAAAAGTTTCTTTTTTTATTTTTTTTATAATAATATTTATTAGTTTTCCAACAAATTGAACACAACACTACAAAAAACCAAAAAAGAAAAAACATACAATAATACAATACAATAATAATAATTAACAAAAAAACCCTACAAAACACTAACATACAACTAACAAAACAAAAACCATTTAAAACACAGTCCAATTTCAATATTTTATCCTTCTTTCACTAATTTCCACGACCTCCTCACACCTCCCTTTTTGTATTGATTGTTTCAGCAATTCCTTTCCATCTTCCTCTATTTTCTATCCTATAATTGTCTAACACATTCTAACCTTATTTTTCCCTTTAATGCTCTAATAATCTATTTATACTTAATTCCTTATAACATTTCTACTAAAGCCATATAACTTCATTCCAACATTTTTCTAACATTCATTAATTTTACAGTATTTCTGTAAATAGTCTTTAAACTTTTTCCAGTCTTCTTCCATAGACTCTTCTCCCTGGTCTCGGATTCTGCCAGTCATTTCTTCCAATTCCATGTAGTCCATCAACTTCATCTGCCATTCTATGAGTTCACAAGTTTCGGTTCCATTGTTCTCCCAGCGGGGAGCCGTCAGCAGCTTGTCAAGAGGTTAAATGAGGCATGCAGGAGCTCGCTGAGCTAGCTCTGCAAGACGAATGCATGGTTCTGATTGGGTAGAACGCACCCATTCAAAAAATAGGAAATACAACTTTATACGGTCTACCCATAGTAAAAATAGAGCGGGAGGCGAGGCATAAGACGTTTGGGCTTATTTCGCCCGTAATAGCGGATCAGTGTAGGAAAGGGGGGAAAGGCACTTTATTTATGGGGCTTGGGGTAAAGTGTGGTGCTTGTGCAACGGTGTGGAGGCTGAGGGGTCCATGTGGGGCCCCTCATGTCGGACCCTCTGGTGACCGGCAGAAGGGTGAAGAAGACATGCCCCCCCTTCCGTATCAGTGTATACAGATGGGGATGGGGGGGCAAAGACTCCCGCGTGTCTCCCCCCATCACAACCTTGTGTCCCCTGATGCTGCTTCGGGTCAAGTCTGGGTCCCTCTAGGTGACGAGGAGCTGCTGGGAGGCCGGGAGGCCGCAGGCTTCTTTATGGGCGTCAAAGAGCTCCTTCAGGGCCTCGACGTAGAGAGCGTGGAAGCTGTTCACCTCGTCCTCGGTGGGGCGCGGGCAGAGTGGGACTGGGATAGGCTTCCCCACTGCAGGAAGGAGAAGAAGCATGGACAGTTGGGGGGTCTGCTCTGCCCCTTGCCCCCCACCCATGGCAGCCAGGGCCTCCCCACCCCAGCAGCTTTGCACCCTGGCCTTGGGTTTCAGGGGTGGGTTAGCTGCAGGAACGGAGGGGACCCCAAGGGTCATTTAGCCCAACCCCTTGATTAATGGCCAACCAACCTCTGCTTAGAAACCTCCAAGGAAGGGGAGAAGGAAGTTGGTGTGTGTGTGTATGTGTGTGTGTGAACACACGCACACAATGGCAGCTCCCTCCATAGCAAGCCCCATAAAACGAGGCGGCTCGTTTGATTTCTGCATTGCAGAGGGGTTGGGCTCGATGACCCTTGGAGGTCTCCGATTCAGTTCGAAGAGAGGGCAAAAGGGAGATGCACCAGAACCTGCTGTTTTGTACGATGCTGAAGAGTTTATGGCTCTTTGCAAGCAGGTTGGTGAGTTGGGGGGATTTTGGGGTGCAGGGCGAAGGCTAAGGAAGGGACGGGGAGCCTTGTGGGTCCTTACCCACCACCGTGAGGGGGGCAGCCATGGGCTGGATCCCCCAAGAGGTGCTGGAGAAGAGGCCCCTCCCACTGAAGAGACAAGGGGCGAAGCCGATCAGCTGCTTGAAACCGAGCTGGAGGCGGCGAGCGAAGCTGCCCTCGGGGAAGCGGATCTGTCGGTAAATGTCGTTCTCCCCGAAGGTGTAAACGGGCACCAGGTCAGCCCTGCGAGGAGGAAGAGGAGGAAGAATTTACTTTCTGTTTTGAGAGAGGGAGAGACAGAATGTCGCTGCGCTCTCCTGGGTCGTTGATTTATTTTGCTGCTGTACAATAAATCGCTTCTTAGAAGAAGAAGAAGAGTTTGGATTTGATATCCTGCCTTTCACTCCCTTTAAGGAGTCTCAAAGCGGCTAACATTCTCCTTTCCCTTCCTCCCCCACAACAAACACTCTGTGAGGTGAGTGGGGCTAAGAGGTCACCCAGCAGTTGCACCTCATCTGGTTGCCCGGGGCAATGGCCTTGGTCCAACCTCACATCATTTGGCGGTTTCCATGGCAACGGTGAAGGACAGCGACCAGAGCAATGTACAGCACTGGGTGATCGACAGTGGAGCCAGTCATCATCTGCCAAATGCGGAACTGCAGAGCCGTTTCTGAAGGAAAAACAGTCACGCTTGCCGTGGATCCAAGAGACAGCTGACAACTGTTGGCTCTGTTTTTGTTCCTTTTTGCAGGCTGAACTGGAAGCATTTGTGGTCCTAGGGATGAAATGCTGTCTATGGTCTGTGTCTTCTCTAGTTAGAGATGGGTTTAAGGTTTGCTTTGAGAATAATGTATGCTCTAGTTCCAGGGGTGGGAAGCAGTTGGTCATTGTTGAATGACAGAACAGGCTATTTGTTCTGGAAACATCTCAAGCAGGTAAGGGTAACACTGGGTCAGCACAGGCACAGTGTGCAAATGTTCCCACTTACTATATGTGTCATCATTTGTGGCACAGGAGGATGTCCCACTGCAATTGGGGATATGTGAGAAAAATACCAGGGTGCATTGAGGGGTGCAAACTGAAGCCATGTGCTAAGTTCCTGGATTGCAGAGTATGCAAGAAGGCAAAGGTAAAAACATGCAGTTATCCTAGGTCTGACAGGGTAACCAAGAAACCTTTTGAGTTGGTTCATGTAGATATTTGTGGCCCTATGCTCATTGCAAGTCTGGGTGGCGCTAAATATGTTTTAACCTTGACAGATGATTACTCCAGAAACAGCTGGGTGATACCTCTGAAGGACAAGGGTGAAGCTGCCACCATGCTGAGGGAGTGGGTCACTGCAGTGGAGCTCCAATTCTCACTGAGGGTTTCCAGTTTCCAATCAGACCACGGTGGGGAGTTCACTGGGTCTGCGTTGCAGAATTACTTTAGCCAGAAAGGGATACGTCACAGTTTGACGGTTCTGCACTCCCCACAGGAAAATGGGGTGGCAGAAAGGCGGAACAGAAGGCTCCAGGAAGCGGTGGAAGTGATGCTTTTTGACTCAGGCTTACCACACCGCTTCTGGGCGGAAGCTTGGAAAACGGAGAATTTCACGCTGAATCGATCCTACAACTGTTTCCTACACACACGCTATCTGTTATACTCTGCTGAAGCTGGGAGGAGCAGAGTGGCGCATCAGAAGAGTGCTGGATGCCAAAGCACTCAGCTGTTCACAGTCGAAACAGACATTCAGCAGAACAGGTTATGGCTCATAACTCACAGATGGAATGTCAGGTCAGGGAGAGCATTTAATCCAACCAAGAACCTTGCAAGGTAGGCTAGGCTGTGGGAAGTCAGGGACCTTAGCATATGGAATTCACTGTCTGTTAAACATTAAGAGAAAACTTAATTGGGGAAAAGAGAAGGTCCCAACGAAGGAGGAGTGGCTTTTGAAAGACATGGACTAGGCAGAAATAGCAAAGCTCACAGCAAAATTAAGAGATCAGAATGATGAACTTTTTACCGAAGGACGGAGGCCGTTTGTGGATTACTTAAAAAACATTACAGTCAAATGAAATCGCGGACAGGATTCGAGATAAAAGCAGCAGAAGAAAAATGACAAAATAATTGTACTCATTTTTTTTTGTAATAGATGAAGATACAGCACAGTAGCTTTGAGTAAAAACACTGTGTAGGTGGGAAGCCAACTTATGGAACAGTGGGATTATTTGTTAGGAAGGTTATTGTGAAAACGTAAGAAAAATGTAATAAAAAATTATACAACAAGGAAGGGCAAGGACCTTCAGTTCTCGCAATTGCTTCATTGGGGCAAAATCCACCAGGAAGCACAGTCATGCTCACGAGGCCCGAGATATTGATGACCTGCACCCAACACGTCCCCCGGACACCCCCTTGCCCCCTTGGTGCCCCTACCCGTGTTGCAGCGCCAAGCGCACGAAGCCCTTCCTCCCCTGAAGGCGGACGCGCTGCTCTCTGGGGGCGCTGTCCAGTGACTCGGACGCACCCCCCACCACAATGACCACCGCGTGCCCGGGGGGGCCGCTCAGGAGGAAGTCCAGGGACCTTTTGTTGACCGGGACCATCCCTGCAAGTGGGAGAAAGCAAAGGTGCTTGTGAGTGTGAAACATCTCCAGGGGTTCCCTGATTTGCAGGGGGTTGGACTAGAGGACCCTCGCGATTCTCCTCCAACTCTGAAATTCTGTGAGTCGGTTAAAGGGCAACAGGGTTGCTGGCAAAGGATCAGCGCGTCTGGAAGTGGTTGGAGGAGAGACGGTGTCTAACTGATTGAGGCTGAGTCCTGACAAGACAGAAGTACTGTTTCGGGGGACGGGAGACGGGCGGGTGTGGGGGGACTCCCTGGCCTGAATAGGACAACTGTGCCCCTGAAGGACCAGATGCGCAGCCAGGGAGTCATTTTGGACTCACAGCTGTCCATGGAGGCGCAGGTCAATTCTGTGTCCAGGGCAGCTGTCTAGCAGCTCCACCTGGGATGCAGGATGAGACCCTCCCTGCCCACAGACTGTCTCGCCAGAGTGGCGCATGCTCTGGTTATCTCCCACCAGGACTACTTCAATGTGCTCTATGTGGGGCTACCTTTGAAAGTGACCCGGAAACTACAACTAATCCAGAATGTGGCAGCTAGACTGGTGACTGGGAGACCACGTAACACTGGTCCTGAAAGACCTACATTGGCTCCCAGTACGTTTCTGAGCACAATTCAAAGTGTTGGTGCTGACCTTGAAAGCCCTAAATGGCCTCAAAGGCCCAGTAGACCTGAAGGAGCTTCTCCACCCCCATCGTTCAGCCTGGATACTGAGGTCCAGCGCCGAAGGCCTTCTGGCGGTTCCCACCCTGCGAGAAGTGAAGCTACAGGGCAGAGGGCCTTCTCAGCAGTGGTGCCCGCCCTGTGGAACGATCTCTCATCAGATGTCAAAGAGAAAAACAATCACCGTAGATTACGGCGTATTAGGGAACTGGGCGTATAAGATGACCCCCTAAATTGGCCACTCCACACCGGGAGGAAGCCACCCAGCAAAACCGGCTTAGCATCGCTGGGCAGCTTCCGGCGCAGAGCCCGCTGCCGCTGCCCAGCAAACCCATACCTAGCGTATAAGACGACCTCTGACATTTTAGAGAATTTTCCGGTGTTAAAAAGTCGTCTCATATGCCAGAATCTACAGTATCTGACTTTTAGGAGACATCTGAAGGGTGCCCTGTTTAGGGAAGTTTTTAATGTTTGGTGTTTTATCGTGTCTTTAATATTCTGTTGGAAGCCACCCAGAGTGGCTGGGAAAACTCAGCCAGATGGGCGGGGTATAAATAATAATTATTATTATCATCATCACCATCATCATTTGCACAAACAAACGCCCCTTTTCATTTGCATAGGAATGAAGAATGGAAGGAAAGAAAGAAATTCTTGCTGGGGAATTCTATTCCCAGGGGCTCTGGGAGGGCATTCCTGAGACTGGGGTGGTTCCTCCCATTTGATGGGCCAGGCAGGGTTCTTGAAGATGGTCCTTAGGGGAGGGGCCACCCCACTTCCCCACCCCCCTTCCCCACCCCCACCATTCCTCTCTCTGTTGGCCTCACCTGAGCTCATCATGTACTCCCGGTAGACGGGTATGCGGAACAGCCCTGCGAGGGCGGACAGGCTGGGGCGGAGGCCAGGGAAGGTGCAGGAGAAGCCCGTGGCCTCAGTGCAGAAGGCGGAAAAGGCCCCCGCGCAGATGATCCCGTGGGGGTGGGAGCCCAGGACGTAGTTCCGCGTCGGGGGCAGCTCGGCCGTCTTCACCAGCTGCAAGGCAAGAGGGGCGAGTCCTTTGGCATTTGGACCCCCACCTGAATGTCAATGTGCAGATTCCATGGCCAGCAGCCTTTGACGGCTGCCACCTCCTGCTTCTCTGTGATCTGGTCTCCAGGGGTTCCAGAGACCCTGGGCATCCTTCGGAGGAAGGCAGACCCTCTGTCACCCTGCCAGCCCCCTTCTCACACCTGAATGTCACATTCAGAGGCGTGCCCCGCTTTCCATTGGTGGCCATGCGCAGATTCCATGGCCAGCAGCCTTTGACAGCCACCACCTCCTCCTTCTCCGTGATCTGGTCTCCAGGGGTTCCAGAGACCCCGGGCATCCTTCTGAGGAAGGCGGACCCTCCTTCGCCCTGCCAGCCCCCTTCTCATACCTTGATGGGGAAATAATCCCGGTGGAGCTCCCAGACTCTCCAGCGCCTCACCCAGTTGCTGCGGCGCCCACCTGCGAAGACAAGGGTTCAGGCAGGGGACGGAGTCAGAGAATTGTGGGGTTGGAAGGGGTCCCCCAGCGGTCATCCAGCCCAACCCCCTGCAATGTAGGAATCGCAGCTGAGGAATCCCTGGCAGGTGACCACCTGACCTCTGCTTAAAAATTCATTTAATTATGACGTGTTGATGTTCAATTTTAGTGTTTATTATTGGATTCCAATGGATTATTGCATATTGCTTTACTTGGTATAAATTATTTTAAAATTATTGTGACTTTTTATTTAGGATCTGATTGTTACTATTAATACTAGATATTTTATTATTATTGTGTGTGTGTGTGTGTGTGTGTGTGTGTGTGTGTGTGTGTGTGTTGGAAGCCGCCCAGAGTGGCTTGTGCAGCCCAGCCAGATGGACAGGGTATAAATAAAATTATAATCAATCAATCAATAACAAGGAGCAAGATGATACTTGGGGTCCCTTCCAACTCTGATTCTATGCTCCTGAAGGTAGGAGTCTATCAATTGATGAAGATGATCATCCAAATGTCATAGACCAAATGGAGCAAACAGCACGCAGACCTACTGGTGGGAGGAAAAAATCCTTAAATAAGAGACACGGGGGAATGATTAATGGACTTCAATGTCTGTACACTAATGCGCAAAGCATGGGAAATAAACAAGATGAGCTTGAGCTCTTGGTACAGCAAACTAAATATGACATAATAGGCATCACTGAAACCTGGTGGGATAAGTCCCACGATTGGAATGTAATAATGGAGGGATACAATCTATTTCAGAGAAACAGACCAGACAAGAAAGGAGGAGGAGTGGCGTTATATGTCAGGGATGTGTATACCTGTGAAGAGATCCAAGATTTAGAACCTCAAAGCCAAAGTGAGAGCATTTGGGTCAAAATTAAGGGAGAGAAGAATAACAGAGACCTCATTGTGGGAGTTTACTATAGATCCCCATAGATGATGCCTTCCTGGAACAGATGGCCAAGCATGCAAAAGGAAGGGAGATAGTAGTAATGGGGGATAGTAGTAATGGAAGTCCCGGCAGACTGGAGGAGGGCAAATGTTGTCCCTATTTTCAAAAAGGGGGAAAGAGAGGACCCAAATAATTACCGCCCAGTCAGTCTGACATCAATACCAGGGAAGATTCTGGAGCAGATCATTAAGCAAACAGTCTGTGAGCACCTAGAAAGGAATGCTGTGATCTCCAATAGTCAGCATGGATTTCTGAAAAATAAGTCATGTCAGACTAACCTGATCTCGTTTTTTGACAGAATTACAAGCCTGGTAGATGAAGTGAACGCAGTGGATGTAGCCTACCTTGATTTCAGCAAGGCATTTGACAAGGTGCCCCATGATATTCTTGTAAAGAAGCTGGTAAAATGCGGTCTTGACTATGCTACCACTCAGTGGATTTGTAACTGGCTGACTGACCGAACCCAAAGGGTGCTCATCAATGGTTCCTCTTCATCCTGGAGAAGAGTGACTAGTGGGGTGCCACAGGGTTCTGTCTTGGGCCCGGTCTTATTCAACATCTTTATCAACGACTTGGATGATAGACTCAAGGGCATCCTGATCAAATTTGCAGATGACACCAAACTGGGAGGGGTGGCTAACACCCCAGAGGACAGGATCACACTTCAAAACGACCTTGACAGATTAGAGAACTGGGCCAAAACAAACAAGATGAACTTTAACAGGGAGAAATGTAAAGTATTGCACTTGGGCAAAAAAAATGAGAGGCACAAATACAAGATGGGGGACACCTGGCTTGAGAGCAGTACATGTGAAAAGGATCTAGGAGTCTTGGTTGACCACAAACTTGACATGAGCCAACAGTGTGACGCGGCAGCTAAAAAAGCCAATGCAATTCTGGGCTGCATCAATAGGAGTATAGCATCTAGATCAAGGGAAGTAATAGTGCCACTGTATTCTGCTCTGGTCAGACCTCACCTGGAGTACTGTGTCAAGTTCTGGGCACCACAGTTCAAGAAGGACACTGACAAACTGGACCGTGTCCAGAGGAGGGCAACCAAAATGGTCAAAGGCCTGGAAACGATGCCTTATGAGGAACGGCTAAGGGAGCTGGGCATATTTAGCCTGGAGAAGAGGAGGTTAAGGGGTGATATGATAGCCATGTTTAAATATATAAAAGGATGTCACATAGAGGAGGGAGAAAGGTTGTTTTCTGCTGCTCCAGAGAAGCGGACACGGAGCAATGGATCCAAACTACAAGAAAGAAGATTCCACCTAAACATTAGGAAGAACTTCCTGACAGTAAGAGCTGTTCGACAGTGGAATTTGCTGCCAAGGAGTGTGGTGGAGTCTCCTTCTTTGGAGGTCTTTAAGCAGAGGCTTGACAACCATATGTCAGGAGTGCTCTGATGGAGTGCTCTGATGCTCTGATGGCCCTCTGATGGAGTGCTCCATCGATGGCCCTTGGGGTCTATTCCAACTCTATGATTCTATGATTCTATGTTATATTTTGGGGAGGGTTCTTTTGATTCGTGTCAATTACAGGATTTTGTGTGTGTTTTTATAGCAAAATTTAATAAATAATGATAAATACATCAATAAATGCAGCTGATTTTTCTGCCCTCCATACAGAGAGAGAGAGAGAGATGAAATGCCTTCTGCCGTTGTGTCATTTATTGGAAACTGTCTTGGAAAATAGATAACAGTAAATAGCAGTGAGGAAAACAGGTTTGGGATGGTCGCAAGCTGCCCCAGGGGAAGGGGGTGAGTTGGAGGAAGAGGGGCAGGGCGAGGCAGCAGCTCCAGCTATGTGGGCTCAGCACCCTTCTCAGACAAGGAGAGGCACCTTACACCTGACCTCTGGGTAGGGTTGGGGGCAGTGCCGGATTTACCTATAAGCTAAACAGGCTATAGTTTAGGGCCCCAGTCCCTTGGGGGCCCCCAAAAAATTAAAGGAAAAAACCCTGGATGTACATTTCCGAAATATAAGATAAAAAACAAATAAAATGAAACCTACCTACAGGAACAGTGTTTTGTGTTGTGTAGGCTCCTGTGATGTAAGTCATGGGCCCCGCCTGCTAGCCTGTTCCCTTAATTATCCCTGGTTTGCTCATTTCTATATATGGGGTACCTACGATCTGCATCTGGGACGCGGGTGGCGCTGGGGGTTAAACCACAGAGCCTGGGACTTGCCGATCAGAAGGTTGGCGGTTCGAATCCCCGCGACGGGGTGAGCTCCCATTGCTCGGTCCTAGTTCCTGCCAACCTAGCAGTTCGAAAGCACCTGAAAGTGCAAGTAGATAAATAGGTACCACTCTGGCGGGAAGGTAAACAGCGTTTCCGTGCGCTGCTCTGGTTCGCCAGAAGCGGCTTCGTCATGCTGGCCACATGACGCGGAAGCTGTACCCCGGCTCCCTCGGCCGATAAAGCGAGATGAGCGCCGCAACCCCAGAGTCGGCCAGTACTGGACCTAATGGTCAGGGGTCCCTTTACCTTTACCTTACGATCTGCATGGACTGCTTGCATGGCTTTAGAGATACTTAACAGTGACAATTTGTTGTGGACAAAGGACAGCTGGACATATAAAGGGCCCCATCACCTTCAGTAGCTTAGGGCCTCATCAAACCCCAATCTGGCCCTGGTTGGGGGGAATCGAACTCACCTCTCTGTGGCGTATCCCAGTCGAAGATCCACCAGGCGAAATACAGGATGCTGATAGGCCAGTAGGAGGTGAAGAACAGGTAGACCAGGAGAACGGAGAAGAAGGCACCTGGGGGTCGGGGGAGGAGATTCTGTGGAATCTTGTTTTTATGTTGTATGCTGCATATGTGATTGCCAAATTCTGATTTGAAAAACCAAATAAATAATTTTTTTTAAAAAATGAAACCAATATCACAATGATCAAAACGAAGCAGGTCAAAACGAAGATCAAAACGAAGCAGGGCAAAGGCTAATAGAGTTCTGTCAAGAGAACAAGCTGGTCATCACAGACACTCTTTTCCAACAACATAAGAGACGACTCTACATATGGACATCACCAGATGGGCAGCATCGAAATCAGATTGATTATATTCTCTGCAGCCAAAGATGGAGAAGCTCCATACAGTTAGCAAAAACAAGACCTGGAGCTGACTGTGGCTCAGATCACCAGCTTCTTATAGCAAAATTCAAGCTTAAACTGAAGAAAGTAGGAAAAACCACTGAGCCGGTAAGATACAATCTAAGTCAAATCCCTTATGAATACACAGTGGAAGTGACGAACAGGTTTAAGGATTTAGATTTGGTGGACGGAGTGCCTGAAGAACTATGGATGGAGGCTCGTAACATTGTACAGGAGGCAGCAACGAAAACCATCCCAATGAAAAGGAAATGCAAGAAAGCAAAGTGGCTGTCAAACGAGGCCTTACAAATAGCGGAGGAGAGAAGGCAAGCAAAATGCGAGGGAGATAGTGAAAGATACAGGAAATTGAATGCAGATTTCCAAAGAATAGCAAGGAGAGACAAGAAGGCCTTCTTAAACGAGCAATGCAAACAAATAGAGGAAAACAACAGAATGGGAAGAACCAGAGATCTGTTCAAGAAAATTGGAGATATGAATAATAATAATAATAATAATTTATTATTTATACCCCGCCCATCTGGCTGGGCCTCCCCAGCCACTCTGGGCGGCTTCCATAAAAACCAAAAATACAATAAAATCACACGTTAAAAACTTCCCTGAACAGGGCTGCCTTAAGATGTCTTCTGAATGTCAGGTAGTTGTTTATTGCTTTGACATCTGCTGGAAGGGCGTTCCACAGGGCGGGCGCCACTACCGAAAAGGCCCTCTGCCTGGTTCCCTGTAGCTTTGCTTCTCGCAATGAGGGAACTGCCAGAAGGCCCTCGGCGCTGGACCTCAGCGTCCGGGCAGAATGATGGGGGTGGAGACGCTCCTTCAGGTATACTGGACCGACGCCGTTTAGGGCTTTAAAGGTCAGCACCAACACTTTGAATTGTGCTCGGAAACTTACTGGGAGCCAATGTAG